GTATGGATGCAAGACCATTCACTCAACAGGTAAAAATAGCATATACGATTAATTGATTTCATATAATAATATTAGATATGTATATACTTTGACAAAGTTCCATTATGATATACGATATATGAAAATAACAAAAGCATGAAACAATCCAGATAATTGGAACTGAGCATTGAGGTCTGATTGTCATTAATTAAATTTACTTTGCCAAAACTCATATCTGTATTTGAACGTCATGACTAATCTAAAACTTGACAAGAGAGAAAGATTTTGTTAAAAAAAATTAAATTAATCTAATTATGTCGTTTAGAATAATATAAAAATACTTTTACCCCATATTTGATGTACGCTTCAAAGGCTAAAAAAATTACAAAACCTTCATATGGGTATTGTCAATATTTTATAATCCAAGTGCTACGTTTGTGCCTCGATCAAAAGGTAAAGCAAATATATTTAAAAGAATTCATCTATCCTTTGTTGTTTATTTTATTGTGTACCAGTATGTATATGAAGTCAAGCATCTCTCATAATTTATAATACATAATAATACATTTATATGTTTATTAAAATAATAAGTAACTTTGAAATTATATGATTTGGAACATAAACAGTTGTATTTCAACATCGAACACTTCAATTCCATAGATATGTAAGAATGCATTTACAGTCACAACCATTTTTTTTATATACGTTTTTATCTTAAAACTTTTAACCGGAAATTATCGCATTTTTTTTTTTCTTGATCCCATTGATTTCAATATTTTGAATTGGTGTTATTGCTGACTCTCAAATTATTCGAATATATGAAAAACAAACAAATGTTATGATCTAAAAAGATCTGCAATTTTCAGAATACTTAAACTCCAAAGAGATAAAATGGTTTATAATAATACACATGTAACAATTTATATTTCAATTGGTGACGAAAAATTAAAACAAAGTAAAAATGTGGAATATATAAATTGAAATATGATGGGAAATGTTAACAAAAAGCTGAATATTTGTTTTTAAAGGAGAGCAAAAAGTGTAAACTGATTCCCGTTAAAAATTGAAAATGTCATAATTCAAATTTCAAACTCCATTGAAGCAGAACAAAATGCAAACGTAATCTATCACTCATCATTGTAAAGTCACATACCAAAAATCAGCTCTATATTTAGAAGAAAGTGCGGAAAACCCTTAAAAATTGAAAAGCTCATAATACCGTTAAAAATCGTTGAAGCGGAACGAAATAGCACACTTGATCTATAAATCATCAAGATACACTCAGATACAAAAAAATCAGCTCAATATTTTCAAGCCTTTAGAAAAAAAAGTGCAGAGAAAAAAAAATTGAGACAGACTGACAGAGACAGACGGACAGCTAGACAGACGGGCGGACATACAAAGAAGAAACATATAGTCCCTTCCGGTTTAACCGGTAGGGGACAAAAGAACGATAAAAAACTGAATATTTGTTTTTAAGATGCATTGGTAAAAATTCTATAATTTTGTTTTTGTCACATGGTTATCAATTCATCTTTCAAGTTTTCAATGGAGAGGCAATAGTTAAATCTTTGCAGCTAAAACAGAAAATGTTTAATTCTATTTTCTCATCTATACTTATTATACACGATGTCTCCTTTGACTCACTACTACCTTATGTAAATAAACAGTTAGACCTTCATCACATTTGCACCAAATTTTACTCTGTGCCTTTGAAAGAATTAAATAGTCTATTTGTAAATTCAAGGAAAGTCCATATTTGGATTCTTCGACACCAGAAAACAGGTTTAGATAAGTGATTATGGACATTGCAAATAATAAGCTCTTTAAGCCGCCACGCTTCAAGGAAGAAAAATATTGCTCAAACAACCCAACTTCAATATGCCAACAAAGGAATTGTCGCAGTTAATATAAGTAATAATTTTATTAATAAAAAAAAGGGGGGGGCAGTCTTGTATTCCACCATATTTCAATTTGAAGTCCACACCTTGTATTTCTTACAAATAAACACTGGCAACTGCTTCCAAACATTTACCAAAAAACTCTACGTACAGTGTCTAGATATCGAACATCTGAAACATAATCTCCAACGTGTTCATGTCCTTCACCCTACAACTATAGTCCTGCTGGACACATCATTACTGGTGACGTTAATATAGTTAATTATGATGGCCTTAAATCACTTATTATAAAAGGATCAAAATTTAGGGAACCCCGATCTTTCAACTGGCGTCATAATCTCGCATTAAGCGATTAAGGGGCAATATGAAAAACATCCATCCTTCTGTCTTCCACAATGCAGAAGTGTAACATGAATTAGATATATTACACGAGCAGTTTGTGCTGATCACAGCTGACAAAGCGGGTAATAACATTTTTAGCTCTTTATTTGTATTTAATTGTATTTTAGAGAAACTAGAATTTAATTCTGGAAGTGGTTTCCAACCTACACCCATAGCTCCTTTTCTAAGGTGGAAATTCTTCAGAGCCATAAGTCAGTTTTAAATTCTTAATACTCCAAACAATCAAAATTTAAATAACCATACCTATACGGGATTCCAAAACTCCATAAAGAATACTCACAAACAAAGATATATAACGGGTTCCAGTAAATGCTTTAACAAGCTTTTTTCCTTACTCGTCAATAAAATATTTACAGCAGTGAATGAGAAACTTCAGGAGTGCTGTCCAACAGTATATTCGAGAAGTGGTGTAAATCAGATGTGGATACATAAAAACTCAATGGAATATTTTGAAAATTTGAAATTGCAAACTTTTATTACATCAATTACATCAAAACGTACGACTTTTCAACACTTTATACAACCATTTTCCAAGATAAATTATATTTCAAGCTATTTGACATCATAGACAGTTGCTTTTGAAAACAAATGGAACTCGTAAATATACTTACCTTGTCATTGAACATTTGCAAAATTATTTTGATAAAAACATTCTGATTGTGCACACAGGGTCTCTAAAATTAATATTAAAAAGATGTTTGAGTTTCTAATTGACCATATCTATGGAGTTATTTTGAGATAAGGTTTTCCAACAATCGGTTGGAATTCTCATCGGTACCAAAATTGCGCCCCGTTATTATCAGATATGTTTTTGTATTAATATGTAGCAGAATGTTTTCAAAAAATTCTACATTAGAAGAAGAAAACGCTGGCTGTGGCTCTCTACTCGATACTTAGATAAATCGACGACGTATTTTCAATTAACAATAATTACGTCCATTCGTACGTCGATTCGATATATACTTAAAATAAAAGACACCACGGAATCTGACACATCTCTTTCATATTTGGATGTTTTACTAGAAAAAGTCGATAATGGTAAGCCAACTGCAAATCTTTATGATAAACGTAATGACTTTTCTATCGTCAACTCATATATGTAGCAATACGCCCTTATAATCTGCATATGGGGTTTATGTCTCCCAGTTGATTACATTTGCAAAGGCATGTTCTAGGGTTTTTTTTTTTTCTAAACGAGAAAAGCTATTAGCCAACATGTTGAAGGCACAAGGATATCAACAGTCTAGTTTGAAGTCATCAAGTTCTATGGTCGATACAATGACCTTATCAGTAAATGCAATCTATCATTAAGTCAAATGCTTACTGACGTTTTTCATATTAATTGTTAGGCTATTATTTACACACTGAAATTTCAAACGGATTTTCCCTGATCACCCGAACACCCGATCATGGCAAGTAGCACAATGCGCGTGTGCCCTGTTGACACGGGATGCTCCTCAATGGCACCTGATCCTTCCTCTGATGTTTTTGGATGTACGTGTTTGCTCTGCTCCCGATTTGTATTGTTTACATGGGACTATGGACTTGAATAATGTTTGTTATCTCCATATTTCATTAAGAAATTACAGGAAAAATTTCTTCCCTTTCTTTTTATTTTTTTTTTCCTTCACATTTGGTACACAGATCTTATTTTTCCCCATTGTTTTGTGCATATTATTTTTTTTTTTTGGGGGGGGGGGGATTTCCATTAAAAAAATAAAAGTTTTTTTTATTCTATTTTTTTTTTTTTAATTATCTTTATTGAATTTTATTGAATGAAATATGAAGATGAATTTTACATTCATTGCTTCTGATTTTCGAATTGTATATGCAATTTTACTAATAATGTTAAGCTCTTTTTATATTCTGCAATATACAATGGAAATAAATTTATTCTTTCAAAACGTATTTAGAACATTATAAATTATATTCTGCCACTATAAAAAGTCTCTCAGTTCCTTTAGAAAGTTTTATATGACAGATAGTTAACCCTCACTTGCATGTGAAAGTGCGCATGTGAACGTGCGTCTGGTAAAAAGCTACAACAAAACAAAACCAAAGTAAGTAATGACAGGTACTGCTTTCCATAGAAAAAATTCTCAAAACTGGATTCACATAATATAAACAAATTACACAGACAAGTAATATCTCTAGTAAATCATGAACTAACTATACTCTGATCAACTGTATCAAATTCCATTCATAAAATATATTTTTAAGAGAAATGCAGACTTAATTACTATCGACTATAAATGATGACATAAATAGCGCGCCATACTTTAAGCACATGGCACACACATTATCTAAAATTATGCAGAACTGCAATAATTAGCATAGCTGACATTAGAGATATAGGTGAGCTATAACATAATCTCAAGAATAAACAATGTGTAACAAACTTCAAACTACTTACACCGTGGATTACGAACATTCAACCGGGAGTAAAAACTCGCCATGACATTATGGCGGCACAAACACAGAAAATTAACTCGTACTTAAACACATTCAATAAACATTCGTATTGCACTTAGTCTAACTGACGTAGTAGTACAACATAAATTCTTAAGACATGAAAATATTAGAAAATAGACAGAACACTTTCAGTCTGAAATCTCAAGATTTCACTATCAAAATTACAAACTGCTGTATTAAGAGTATGACAAAAATCAATAATCTCTCGATAACAGTCTTAAATAGTCTGTCAACACATTCTCAGACTTATACAATTTCACTTTCAATGAGAAGTATCATGTCAACGACTGGTCTGATATACACTGTAGGCTTTCCATTCACAATGATACGAATTTCAGCTTTTCGCACATGATCATCAGAACTCTTGAAGGATTTCACAACTAAGCCAATAGGCCAGCAGTTCTGTTCAACACTCTTGTCTTTTATAAGAACTACATCTCCTTCGGCTATGTCACGTTGATTCTTGGTCCACTTCCTACGACTCTGAAGTAGCGGTAGATACTCCTTCTTCCAAGGAGACCAGAATACACTAAGTAAAGCTTGAACACGTCTCCATTCAGCCTTGAACATGTCTCGACCATCAAAGTCTCCTAGTAAATTGGCCTTAAACTCATACTCAGTCTTCTGTGTCAACAGCATTGCTGGGGTCAGAATCAATGGGGAATCTTGGTCAGTGGATATCGGAACAAGAGGTCTTGAATTAATGATTGCACAGACCTCAGTCATAAATATGTTCAGCACATCGTGCGTTAAGGTCTTTCCACTGGCATCAGTCAGCATTGAATTGAGGATCTTACGGGTAATATCGATCATTCTTTCCCATGTCCCACCCATGTGGGATGCATGGGGTGGATTGAAGATCCATACAGTACCAGAATTGTGTAGATACTTCTTCAAGGGTGCATCGTTGACGTATATGGCATCAATGCGCAAGTCATCTACGGCCCCAACAAAGTTAGTGCCTTGGTCAGAACGGAAAGTCTTTACCTGACCCCTTATGGCGGTGAATCTTCTGACAGCATTGATAAATGCAGATGAACTCATTTCCTCAACTAGTTCAATATGCACCGCCCTTGTGGTTAAGCATGTGAACAATATTCCCCTGCGTTTGGAGTTGGCACTACCTCCTCGAGTCTTACGTGAAACTACAGCCCAAGGTCCGAATGCATCTACACCTACGTTTGTGAAAGGTGGCGATGGGTCAAGGCGGTCTGCAGGTAGATCAGCCATGATCTGATACTGCGTCTTCCCTCTGAGTTTTCTGCACGTGATACATTTATGAATAATCGATGAGACAAATCGTTTGGCCCCTGTTATCCAAAGTCCAGCAGCCGTAATAGCTCCTTCGGTGAAGTGACGCCCTTGGTGCTTGACATTCTCATGATAGTGTCGAACCAGTAAGGTTTCTATGTGATGGCGTCCAGGTATAATCAATGGTTTCTTCTCTCGCAAGGTCAATTTTGAGTTGACTATCCGACCTCCTACACGGAGAAGTCCCTGATCATCTAAAAATGGATTGAGGTTGGCGATTGGGCTTCGTCGAGGTAGAGGCTTGTTTTGTCGTATACAGTCAATCTCGTCACAGTACACCTCAGACTGCACCATTCGGATCACAAAGTGCTCTGTGTCTTGGTATCTTTCAGTTACTGTGTTAGAATCAACGTCTTTGCCTTGACACTTGAAAAGCATGTATCTGAGAAAGTTCATGACCAACACAAGTTTCCTCCAGTCAGAAAATCGCTGGAATCGTTGAGTCATTGCAGTGTATGGTTGTCCACCATCTTCGTCTGCAGTGCAGATTTTCATTGCTGAAACAATAGGGCGAATCTCTTTATCTTCATCTGGCTTAATGAGTGAATGTTCATTCTCATTTTGATCCTCCTGTTTATTAACAAGAAGTTGTTTTGGTCCTTGTAACCAAGTGCTGTCTTGAAGCTCATGTGCAGGTAGACATCTCGTTGCTAAATCTGCAGAGTTATGATCAGTAGACACGTAATTCCACTGGCTTGGAGTTGTAAACTTCCTTATGCTATCTACTTTGTTGGCAACATAGATATAGAATCTCCTAAACTCATTACAGATGTAGCCGAGGACTACTTTGCTGTCAGTGTAATACTTCACAGAGTCTATTTGTATGCCAAGGTGATTCAGAACACACTGTGCAATCTCCACTGCCAACACAGATGCACACAATTCCAGTCGTGGGATAGTGTGTCCACTCATGGGTGTAACTTTAACCTTACCCAACACGAATCAACTTTGCACTGTCCATCACTATCGGTTGTGCGTAAATAAATGACAGCCGCTATGGCCTTTTCAGATGCGTCACTGTACACATGAAGTTCTTTCGTCACTGCTTTGCTGAGATTTGTCACATATGTCCGTGGAATACGCAGAGCTTCAAGTGCGTCTAAGGTATCCTTCCAAGAATTCCATAGAGATGCTAGTTCTTCATAGAGGGGCTCGTCCCAGTCTCGAGTCTGTGCTATAAGTTGCCTGAGTAGGAATTTACCATAGATAGTCACTGGTGCTAAAAAGCCTAGAGGGTCATAAATCCCATTGACGGTTGAAAGTAAACCTCTTCGTGTGGCAGGTTTATTGTCTTTTGATAGTTGGAACAGAAAGGTGTCATTGTTTACATCCCAGCTTAGACCGAGGCTTCGCTGCAGAGGCATGTCCTCCCCTTGTAAATCCAAGTCTTTCAGATTTGTTGCTAGGTCTTCAACTGGAAGGGCTGGCATTACTTCAGGACTGTTAGAGGCAAATTTATGAAGCCGAAGATTACCATATTCCTTCAAGGCGCTCTGAGTGTCCTTGAGAATGCGAACAGCTTCTGCAGTGGTTGGACAGGAAGTCAACCCATCATCAACGTGAAAGTCATTTTTTACGAAATTGGTAACGTAATCTCCATAGTTCGGTTTTGCCGCTTCAGCTGCCTTTCTGAGTCCAAGTGTTGCTACAGCAGATGAGGGCCGGTTACCAAAGACATGGACCCGCATCCTATACTCAATGATTTCTTTATCAAGGTCGTTATCCTTGTGCCACAAAAATCTTAAGAAGTCGCGATGATCCTCTCTTACTAAAAAACAGTGAAACATATGTTGCACATCGGCAGTCACAGCAACCATTTCCTTGCAAAATCTTAAAAGAATGCCAAGCAGGCTGTTTGATAAATCTGGTCCTGAAAGAAGGAATTCATTTAGGGAAACTCCCTCAAATTTAGCCAATGAGTCGAACACGCCCCTAATCTGATCTGGGTTTTTTTGGGATGATAAACACCAAATAGGGGCAGAAACCAACATTCATCTCCATCAGACAACTTTGGGGCAACTTCTGCATGATGATTGTCCAGAATCTTAGCCATGAATGTAAGAAAGTGTCCTTTTTTCACAGGGTTCTTCTTAAGGCTTACATCAAGAAGTTTAGCACGCTGAACGGCTTCCTGTTTGTTGTTCGGTAACTGCTGTCGATTCTCCCGAAAGGGCAGTGGGGCCACCCTACTTCCTGAAGAGTCTCTGATAAATTCACTATCCATCTGTTGCAAGAACACTTTATCCTCTATTGACATGCCTTGTTCATCGTCGTCCTTTGTCCTGATAAATAGCTGCGACTCATCAGACAAAGACTGAACTACAAGTTTCCGTACCTCAAACTTGTTGCTGCATGGCTCCATAGCTGAAGGCTGACCAGTTGGTAGAAGGGAAAGGTTCTTAACACTTAGATCACGTGAGGCATCTTGCATGTTGAGACAAGTTTCTCCGATGACAACCCAGCAAAGTTTGAGTTGTTGTGCATAAGGAGCTTTCAGAGGACCAAAGATCTGATGTAGAACATGATGGGTCTCTATCAAATCGCGTCCTATCAGCAAAAGAATGTGACATTCTTCATCAAGTGGTTGAAGGTTCCAAGCAATTTCTGTGAGATGTTCATGATGAAGTGTGACTTCAGGTGTTGGCATTTCATCTCGATTGTTTGGTATATGGTCGCACCCAGTCAAGGTTGGTAGCTCAAAGTCTACATTGCCTTCTATCGATCTAACAATGAACCCCTTTCCTCTTCTTCCAGAAGTTACAACTTTGCCAGAACAGGTTGATATAGTGTAGTTCTGTGGTTTATCCTTCACACAAAACAACTCAAAGAATTCTGGGGAGGCTAATGAGCGGTTGCTCTGATCATCAATTACTGCGTACATCTTCACCGACTTGTGTGGATTGTCACGATGAAACACATGAACTGGCAAGATCTTGGCACATGACTTTCCACTGTAAGGTTCTCTGCATATCTCAGTGCAGCTTGAGTTGACCTCTGACACATTGTTGGACCTGATGTTACCCCTTGACTCCCCGCCGTTCTCCTTTAATGATGAATTAGGAGTGCATTTGTTTTCCTCCCCGCCATTCGCTTGATGAGTTGCCTTAGAATCCATAGAAACCACTTTGTCATTTCTGGTAAGGTGCAGAGCGGTTGTATAATGCTTGCTTCCACATTCCTTGCATGAGATAACAGCATTGCATTCACGACTTTTGTGAGTGTTAGAAGCACAACATCTGAAGCATACGTTGTTTTCTTTCAAGAGTCTCTTCCTTTCCTCTACCGACTTTGACCGGAATCCTCTACAGTCGTCTAGAGTATGTTTGGTTTTGTGGATGATACAACGTTCAAGTGGAGCAGTTACGTCAACACCTGTCTTGTTCACATTGACCTTGTTTCTTGCATAACTTAATAGTTTTGGAGCAGCAAATTTGTTGGTGCTGCTTGTGTCTGATACATAGTTGAATCCTGGGTCATTCTTCGCCTTGCTTATATCCTTTATGAATTCCACAAAGACTTGAAATGGAGGAAATATAGCACTGTGTTCCTTCTTATATTTCACAGCTCTATTAGTCCACTTTTCTTGTAAACTGTATGGTAGTTTGGATATAATTGTCTTTATCCCAGATGACGAATCAAGATATGCTAGCATAGCACTGTATTTGGGGTCTTCTTTTAAGAACTACATTTCCATGAGAATGTCTGAAAGGTCATAGAGCTTCTGATAATCCTTACTACCGAGCTTTGGAAAGTTTTGAAGTTTTGCCCTTATCGATGCATCAATATGCTCTGTCGCACCATAGCGTTCATCTAACCTTTCCCACAGCCTCTGTAGTTCTCTAGGAATGTTGATTATATTTGATGTCCTGATACTGATAGCATGCTTCTTTGATTCAGGCCCCGAATACTTGATAAGGAGATCCATCTGCTCTGAGTCCATCACTTGAAGTTCATTTGTGACACACAAAAAACTGTGTTTCCATGCACTATAGGATTCAGGCCTATCGTTAAAGTTGTTAGTCGAGAGAACAGTAGATCCTTTCTTAGTAAGAAACGAGTGACATCGGTCACATGTGTCTCTTGCTGTGTCATGTAAGGTGATGGAAGGCACAAGGTAGGCGTGTATGACTGTGCATTTAGTGTAGAAGGAATGTAGTCCAACGTAGGTCCTGAAAGGGCATGTCCAAGTGTAGGTTGACCAGAATAAATATTTTGGCTGGTACTTGAGTAGTGTTTCAGTTTTTGGTAGTTGATTCCATCCGGTGAAACTGGTCGACTGGAGACCTGTGAGATATGGTTGATTGTTGATTCAAATGCCTGACACTCTGCTTCTGCCTCTGCTCCTTCCCTTTTGAGATTTATCATTTCTAGTTCTGCTTCAAGTTCCATTTGCTGTTTGCATAATGTCATTTCTTTAGCTGCATACAACATCCTGGCTTTTGCTTTACCTACTTCAGCCCTCTTCTTAGCAAGAATGTCTGAAGTTAAAACACTGGATGAAGAATGTACACTTAGATGCTCACTTTCTGCGTTCTCCTCTTCATATCCTCGATAATCTAGAAAAATCATCCCCCTTTTCACTGTTGCTGGATGTAGATTTCTTTTCAGTGTTTCTTGTGTCTGTAACAGAATCTGGTATTGACATAGTTTTGGCTTGCTGAATGTCCAAAGTTGAATCTGGAACAGATGACGACTTAACCTGCTCAGTGTTCACAGTAGAATCTGGAATGGACAATGACTTAGCCTGCTGAGAGTCCATAGAGGAGTCTGGAATGAACGCTATTTTGTCTTGTTGAGTGGAGTCTGGACTTGTTGTCCTGGTGTGTACTGCTGTAGTAGACATGGTCTTTTTACTATTCTACCACAATAAAAAGTCTCTCAGTTCCTTTAGAAAGTTTTATTTGACAGATAGTTAACCCTCACTTGCATGTGAAAGTGCGCATGTGAACGTGCGTCTGGTAAAAAGCTACAACAAAACAAAACCAAAGTAAGTAATGACAGGTACTGCTTTCCATAGAAAAAATTCTCAAAACTGGATTCACATAATATAAACAAATTACACAGACAAGTAATATCTCTAGTAAATCATGAACTAACTATACTCTGATCAACTGTATCAAATTCCATTCATAAAATATATATTTTAAGAGAAATACAGACTTAATTACTATCGACTATAAATGATGACATGAATAGCACGCCATACTTTAAGCACATGGCACAAACATTATCTAAAATTATGCAGAACTGCAATAATTAGCATAGCTGACATTAGATATATAGGTGAGCGATAACAATCTCAAGAATAAACAATGTGTAAAAAACTTTAAACTACTTACACCGTGGATTACAAATGTTCAACCGGGAGTAAAAACTCGCCATGACAGTATGGCGGCACACACACAGAAAATTAACTCGTACTTAAACACATTCAATAAACATTCGTATTGCACTTAGTCTAACTGACGTAGTAGTACAACATAAATTCTAAAAACATGAAAATATTAGAAAATAGACAGAACAAATTATGTACTAATAACCAGGTAATGCAGAAATACATGTATTCTTACTGTCACATAAAAATCATCCTAGCATATTTTTTTTTAATGTATTTTAAATTTTCACGTTAATATCCCTTGGAGAACCCCTTCTTTTTTTAATATGTTATTACTGTACATACCCTTCACTGAACCTCAATTCACTGGACCTTAAAACCCGCCAGTACGTGCAAGTCAGTTGGGACGCGGCAGTCCAGAGAGGAGGACGCCTTTCTTTCCTCTTTTATCTTAAAGTTTGTTTTTTACATGTATGTACCCTTGCGGTTCATGGCAGTGCTTGCTCTGGTGTGCTACTATTTATTAGCAGTGTAATGCTCCAGCTTTTCTGAGGTAAGGTTTATATTTATAATTCTATTTTAGTCATTTTCTGTATATTATTAATTTGTCCTAAAACATCCAGTCACCGCATTTCTCATCATTTTTAGCTTGTGCGTTACGTTTAATTTGATTTCTATCTATAGTAACACGTATTTGAATATTTCAAAGTACGGTGTACAATTTCTGTCATAATAGTTTGTCCGTAAAGTAGATTCGCAATATTGCATATGTGTAAGAGTTGTATGTATAATTTAAAGAACTCATTGTGTGTAATTGAGTAAAGACATGTCCATTATCTATAAATCTGATAATGAGTGTAATGTGTATTTGTTTAAGCCACTAGAGCTTGCAAGTAAAACTTGTATGTATTTGTTGGAGCAGGTTCCACCAATACGTCAGAGTTTTTTTTTTTACAACAGTGAGGCCACCCAGTGCCTAAAGTCCGCCCATGTTGTGTGGTAGATAGACCAGCCAGCTTTGGAACCTAGAGTCCATCCTCCATTCTGTGAGGTGGAAAAGCCAACGGCGAGACAAACAACAACAATGACGTTTATATATTTTTGTAAAAAATATCATGATTCATTAAAGATGTAAATTGTATAAGGAGGAGCAATTGAGTTGTAATTTTTTAGTTAAAAGATAAATCCCCTCGACAATCTGTGACACTTACAAATTTGATTGAGGTAATTCCTACAGACGAAGTAGTTCGTGAAATAACAGCCGAATGAGAAAGTGCAATATGAAAAAAAACTTGACGAATATCCTTTCAATCTATTCCAAATCTTTAACATCCAGAGTGTATAAGGCCTAGTAATTCATCATTTTGTTATTTTTACATTGTAACAAGTCTTTTAATCATTTAGTGGTGTTCGTAACAGTTAGCCTTGACTTCATCTCTACATTTAAAAGTATTACACATACACGATTGCAAACATGAAATGTTACTTTAAAATCATGAAACAAAAAAGGACACTTTTTGTGACACATGCTGCCGATTACATTATGGTTTCACCAGAGATATGGAACGATTGCATACTTTGAGATGAGGACGCGCTCAACTTCTTTGATTATTTGTTAAGCAAAAGATTCCAGTAAATTCATAACTTAAGCAAAAATGATTTTTTGAAGGATACCCGATTTCCCAAAGAAAAGAGTGTACTTTCTTTCATTTCTGAAAATCAACAGAGCACACAGAAAAGGTACCTGTATCATAATATACAATTACTTAATAAATGTTTACATCTTCCAGTAATGGCATGAAAAACAAGATGAATTTGTGAAACACTAATGTCCCCGTACGGAAGCTTTTGGCGAATGTAAAAGTTTGCAAATCAAACTCCAAGGTCAATAGATGAAAAATTAATGCTGTTAGCCAAAGAAAGGATTTGTCTCAATGAATATTCCCATGAAATATGACAACCCAAGCTTTAGCCATTTAAAAGTTATGGCCAAGGTTATTTTTTTAAATGTGGGTCAAACTTCAAGGTCAATAGTTAAAATGCTGCTAACCAAAGAAAGGGCTTGTCTCAATGAATATTCCTTTGAAAAATGAAAGCCCAAGTGTTTACCATTTAAAAGCTATGATCAAGTTTAAAGTTTTTTTTTTAAATGAAGGTCAAACCCCAAGGTCAAATGGTCAAATTCAAGGTACCCAGGGAAAGTACTTGTCATAAGAAATTTACCTGTAAAATCTTAAAGCCCTAGCACCAACTGTTCGAAAGTTATGATCAAAGTTTAAGTTTTTCAAAAGAAGGTCAACCTTCAATATCAAGGTTAAAAGGAGGGAATATTGTTGGCACATGTACCAAAGGAAGGCCTTGTCAAAAGAAATACAACTATTAAATATGACGTCTCTAGTTCTAACTGTTCAAAACTTATGTCCAAGTTTTTTAAAAGTGGGTCAAACTCAAAGTTCAAGGTCAAAATGTCAAAAATATTTATATCAATAAAAAGGTCGTGTTACAATGAATAAACATGTGACATACGAAAACCCTAGCACCAACTGTGCAAAAGTTATGGCAAAAGCTTAAGTTTGGTTAATTCTAGAAAAAGTGGGTTAAACTCAAAGGTAAAGGTCAAAAGGTCAAATATGTTGGTACCCAAGGAAAGGTCTTGTCACAGGGAATGCACATAAAAAACTTGCAAGCCATATCTCCAACCAATCAAAAGTTATAAGCTAGGTTAAATTTTTTGCGGACATTTATTTCATGTGTGCATGCCTATCACACGACATCTCACATGAAGTAGATCTAACTAATTTATTATCTATACTATATTTTTGAAATGTGATAATAACCCTTCTTGATAAAGAATCTTATGCCACCTGTACATTTTATGGTTTCATAACATTGATAACAATCAAGACCGGGCTACATGCTTGTATAATAGCCTTCATACACTTTAGAACAACTGAATACCGAGCATTCTATACACATTTATTAGTATATGTTTCATCATTTAGGACTGGTAACTATTCATTTCTTTATAAGTAAATTTAGGACGAACTCGATCATAGTTTTTTTTTTTTCATCAGACTTTCATACAAAGTCATCAAATGTCAATATTTCTTTTACTGAATTTGGAAAAAAAAGACTGGTCTTGACAATTTGAGATTCGCACAGCAAAAATTGTCAGGAAAAAACATACCGTATCATGGCATTCACTTTCAAATCCTATTAATTTCAACTGCATATGTTATTGGATTCTGCACAAAAATGAAATAGCTCAAACAAATATGCACCTCCCACTTAAAATTTGTACCTGTAACTTATATTCT